TTATACGTCATGAGAGATATTTTTTTTCATTGGAGGATATTTTTCGCCAGGTATTTCCTTGCAACATTTTTTTTCCCTCGAAATCGGCCTCCAGGATAATTTTTTTCTGCTTCACCCATACCCCACCTCAAACTTTAAATGGTCGGCCCCCTATTATTTATTTTGTTGCCCTGATTACGCTTTTAGCACACTTGAGACACTCTTGTAACTCTGCATGGTTATTTTAGTTCAGCTGAGAGGGATCTGCCAAAAACCGCTTTCCTAAAGGTTGGTTAAGTGGAAAGTCCAGGTTTAAGTCACATTTTTAAAGTTTTCATGCCTAGAGATATATGTAACCTGAGAAAACAACCGACGTTAATTATTTCTCCGCGTGAGGAAAGAGGGCAGAAATGTTCCCACTGATGACGTGTCACTACCCTGATCTGGGTAGTGCTTCTGATTGGNAGCCAATTTGGGTGCATCTCGCAGTGACGTTTTGATGTCACAAAAAAGACTGCAGCAAAACCAAAACTAACGAGCAGACGTGTAACGCTCACCGTCCCCGGCGGCCCGAGCGCATGCTCTGTTGGGGCCTTATCGTTGCAAGATTTTTTCGAGCATTATACGTCATGAGAAATATTTTTTTTCATTGGAGGATATTTTTCGCCAGGTATTTCCTTGCAACATATTTTTTCCCTCGAAATCGGCCTCCAGGATAATTTTTTTCTGCATCACCCATACCCCACCTCAAACTTTAAATGGTCGGCCCCCTATTATTTATTATGTTGCCCTGATTACGCTTTTAGCACACTTGAGACACTCTTGTAACTCTGCATGGTTATTTTAGTTCAGCTGAGAGGGATCTGCCAAAAACCGCTTTCCTAAAGGTTGGTTAAGTGGAAAGTCCAGGTTTAAGTCACATTTTTAAAGTTTTCATGCCTAGAGATATATGTAACCTGAGAAAACAACCGACGTTAATTATTTCTCCGCGTGAGGAAAGAGGGCAGAAATGTTCCCACTGATGACGTGTCACTACCCTGATCTGGGTAGTGCTTCTGATTGGTTGATAATTGCCCATTCGAGATTAAAAGTAGTCGAACTTCATCAGTGTAGGACTTGGGATTTGGACGCTTCTTCCTCAGACGTCATTTCGTGGTGTCACGAGATGTTGGCTGTTTTTTCACGCGAGGAGATATTACCTTCGAGCAATCAGTAGCACTACCGAGATTAAAGTAGTGCCATGTCATCAGTATGGGTTTTAAGTGCTCGTTCCTCTGATGTCATTTCCTGTCACAAAAAGTCAGGTCTTTTCTCACGCAAGGAGATATTTATTCAGCCTTTACTACTACGATCCAGTTTCAGTGACGATAATAAAAACATAATCTAAAATAATCTAATGGAAGCTAAGTACACTCATGGATTCGACTTTCACTTCCGGATTTATATTGTTAATCAGTAGATCTTTCTGGAACTGGGCCCTGGTCTGCAGGGAGGGTCGTCACGTAACGCTCCTTCCCACTAATAAGACAAACTTAAAGCAAGGGGCACACTTACACCAACCCACGGCCTGGCCATTACCTCACGCATGCGCACAGCCATATCACCCGGGCAGTGGCAGCCATGGACAGCTGTTTCGCCCTTATTGGGGCTCATCAGCATGAAATAGCCTTCGGGTCAGCACTAATACCGTAAAATTCCGAAAATAAGCCCCTCCATGTATAAGCCCCTCCAAATATAAGCCCCTTAAACTCGTAACGCAAAAAACTCTCCGTTAAATCGCCCCTCCGAATATAAGCCCTCGGGGGCTTGTACTTGGAAATACAAAGTAAAACAAATCGATGCCGGTACAGTAACATATAAATTTTTGTATTTGCCAAAGAGCTATTTCGTGTGCCAAATAGAGTGTTAGTTTGATGTGTTGTGTGTTAATCCGTAAGTAGAAAAAAAATACATTCATTCATCAAGACGTGTTTCTTTTATTTACCCAGGGACATAATAAAGGAAAGAGAACTTAATCAGTGGTTGGTATACGTCTTTCTTCTGTATGGGAACGGAACATCGATGGTCTGTCAGCCAATCATCACACAGATGAAAAAAAGGAACGCGTGACGAAGCCCTAACCATCAAACGAGTCTCGTCCCAGTCTTTTGTCCTAGTCTTGCAACTAAATGACCAAATGAAGTCATTCGGATTAATGTCAGCCACTTCCTACTCTCTACAGGCAAAAGACCTCAAATAATGGTGTGAAATTAAGTTAACACTTTTCACTGGTTGTTGATGCTACGGAAACTACTGATGGAAAAAGTGATTCGTTAAACATTAATCAAATGGACGTTTTCTTTGGTCTTCTTTGTCGACCTGTGCAATTTTATGTCTGTTAGTGAAACGCGTAGCAACATGCTATCGACGCAACCAGAATCAGGCGACCGTTGAAGGTTTATTACTTGTAATCAGTTTAAAGATTAAGGACGAGAAGAGCAGTTTAACTGGAAATTGTTTGTATAATCATATGACGTTCTCAAACAGCAGAATTATAGCTGATGGTTACTAGTAGGAAAAATGATTAAATGATGAATTATTCTCTGTCTTAGTTCTGCCGGCCATTCAGAAAAAAAATAACGGCTTATAGCTGGTAAAACGTGCTATCAGATATTTTGAGGTAAAAGTAAAGGGCCTCCCCTCTCGCTCGCGCCTTCTCTTACAACTCTCTTCGCTCGCCACTCGAAATGGAGAGTTTAAGCTTAAGCAAGAAGATCTAAGCAACGAAGTTTGAGCAAGATTCCCAATTTTTAGGTGTAAAAATAAGACTATCAGCCAATGCAAGATATGGAGGTTTGTTTGCAAATCGTTACAAATGTAGTTTTTTTTTATAAATCACCAGAAACCCATAAATCACAAACGCCTTTCCTTTAACGTTTAACGATTCACCGTTAAAGTTTAGTTCCAGCCGGTAGTTGAGTTGAAAGCCGGAATACTATGCTCAAATCCTCAAAGGTTTGGTGACACTCAAATAACAACTTCGCCAATACGATGACGATCTATCTATTCCGAGCCTTGGTAGACTGTTCACAGTCCCCTATCTTTTTCGTGAGATCGTTTGGATATAGCGCGTCTTACCGTCAATGACGGCCATCTTGCTTTTCAAATGTACCGAGGGGGCGCGCGTCGGGGTTTATAGCTGTAGTTTTGACACTCACGCAAGATAGAAGCCCGTAACGCAAAGCGCTCGATCTCGTCGATCTTACGGGAAAATAGAGGACTGTGAACAGTCTAGAGCCTTATATCTATGATTCCGGCAAACTTGCTCGGAAAATCACGCACGTCATTACGCTTCACCTACGTGTAAAAAAGGTACCACGACAGTCATTGTCATAGCCAATACCCGTCGACCAATGGGCGCGCTAGAATTTCGACTGATACATAAAAATAGAAAGTCCAAGGTCCATGACAACAGTTCATTTCTGATCAAGTTACGCATAATCATCCACCCATATTGGGCCGACCATGGATGTGCAACAACTCTTCAGAAATCTTCAGAAAGAAGCAGAGTGTCCGTTGTGTTTAGAGACAGTTAACAATCCCAAGACTTTGCCATGTCTTCACTCATTCTGCCTCGAGTGTCTCGACAAACATGCAGGCTTCGCCAGAAGGCAGCTGCAAGCGACGATCAAATGTCCGGTTTGTCAGACATCTTTTCAAATCCCCGAGGGCGACTCGTTCAAGAATTTGGCCACATCTTATCATCTCAACCGATTGGTGGATGTTCTGGCTCTTAAAGATAGCGGCGCACAGGCTCAGAAATGTGGCAGTTGTGATGAGAACAACACCGCTTCCTCTTACTGTTTCGTGTGCCAGAACTTTCTATGCACTCCTTGTTTTGAAGCTCACCAACGCTTGAAGGCCACAAGAGGTCATCGTAATGTTGTGATAGAGAAATTGCAAGCACAAGATGTGGAAGATTTGATCCACAGACCTGTCATGTGTTCACAGCAATATCACGAAAATCAACCGCTGGAATTTTATTGCGAAGAATGCAAAGTTCCTATTTGCCACAAGTGCAGTGTAGTTAGCCATAATCGACACACCATAACAGACACTCAGAAAGCCGCACAAGTACAGAAGATGCAAATGATGGATGCTTTGGAGAAAGTGAAAGCGGAAACGGTTGTATACGAGAAAAAAGTACGGCAACAGACCGAGTTAATGGACAAGAACAAGAAAGAAATTATGTTGTGCGAAAAGAAGATGACGGATTTAGTGGACGAATTGATTCGCGATTTGCGGGAACATGAGAGGGTCATGAAAACCAAATTTGCTGAAATTTATGAAGCGCAACAAAAAAATCACGCAACACAACTAGAAAACTTTGAGTTGGTTTTGACGCAACTGAAAAGTTGCGTTGAACGAGGTGAGAGTATCGTACAAAGAAACATCAGTGCTGAAATTCTGCAAACAAACCAAGCTATTATTAAACGCTGTGAAGAGCTTTTAAAAGCCAGAAAACCTGACATTTATAAGCCTTCACATGTAAACTATATGGTTGAACAGAAAGTGAAGATTTTGGATCGTATTGTTGTCAGTGACACAGCTCCTTCGCTGTCGTTGGCTGAAGTGGCAAGTCTAAAAGATGTACAAGAAAAAAAGGAAACAAATTTTACCATTGTAACTCGAAATTCGGATGGGGAACAGTGTTATCATGAAGAGGATGTGATTAAAGTCAACGTATTAAGTCCCGCAGGAGATCAACTGGAAACAGAGATAACAGACACCAAGGACGGCAATTACACAGTAACATACACAGCACAGCGTGTTGGACAACATAGATTAGAGATTCAAATTAATGGACAGCCGCTGACTGGTAGTCCCTGGTTTGTTCAGGTGATTCCGCATCAGTATCAATTTGCGTTTCAATTTGGATCAAAAGGAAGAGAACAAGGGCAGTTTAACATTCCTCAGGGTATTGCTGTGAATGATAAAAGTAGAAGACTTGCTGTTGCTGATTATAGCAATAAACGGTTCAGATGTTTGGCTTTGAAGGAAATTTCCTTGAAGAGATTGCATTGAAGGGTAACCCTCGTTCGTTGGCTTTTACCGAGTCAGGTGACCTCCTTGTCTGTGCTTTACTGGAGGTGTTGAGCAGGAGAATTTTCCTCTTTACTGAAAATGGTCAGTTTATCAGTTACATCGGCGGTGAACACATAAAGAGACCGTACTACGTATCTGTTTCCAGTGATGGTCGCATTATCACAAGTGACTCTGATGACAAGAGAATCAAAGTTCTTACGGCTGATGGGAAAAACTTATTTCAGTCGTTTAAAGCCCCAGGTTGTGATGAAACCCCGGACTGTGTCGTTTATCACCAGGACAAATTCTTTGCTTCCTTTTATTCTGCTTGTCGTGTCACGGTATTTAACAACGCAGGGGAGTATCTACATGACATTGGAAGCGAGGGATCTGGTGACGGGCAGTTCTCGAATACCTCTGGTCTCGCTATTGACAAGTTTAACCGTTTGATCGTTTGCGATACGGGAAACAGAAGACTTCAACTTTTCTCTCTTGATGGAAAGTATATCACTCAGATAGCTAGGAGGTTTTTTGAGGGTGGCTACCCTCGCTATGCTGTCATCTCCAATACTGGACATTTGTTTGTTGCTGATTCACGGCGACACTGTGTGCTGGTTTTCCATTAGCACTGTAAGCGAGCAAGTGTGTTTATGGAAGTGACACGGTATTTTTTATATTTATGAACCATTTCAGATCATTTTGAAACAGTACCTTTTGACATGCTGGCAAATAATAACTACCATACATTGTCTCGCTTTTGTTGTTTGAAAGACACGCTTCTTACGGACCTTACGAGAAACGACTGTTTAGAAAGAAAGGCAAGATCAAATAGCCATTACCTTGCGAGCAGAGGTTTCTCTCTTGCATGGCTTAAAGCGTTTACGAAGTCGTTCCCATCGTGTGTCAGTCAAGTACAGTCAACTCTCGCCTCGCGGACGCCCCGCCGCAGATAATACTGACAGCAGCTAAATCCCAGGCAAAAGCAAATTGCAGACGTTTGACTTAAATAAACTCTAGCTAAATGAGGGCACCAACTCGAGGTCCTCACAGTGTCCGCAATAATGGGAGTTGACTGTAGTTGTTTTTGTTGTTGTTTTTGTTTTTCATTAAACGCCCCAGGAGTATAAAACAAACCAACAACGCGACTAACAAGAGATGCGAACGACTCCATAAAGTAATGCTAAACCCCGTGCAAGAGGCAAACTTTAACTTGCAAGGGAAATACCCATTCACGGGTACAACGTTTGGTTATTGCAAGGTGGCAATGATATTTTTTCTTATTTTTATAAACACGTAAAATTGTTGTATTTTATTAACGGGGAACTCATTAATTCAGTATTTAGAAGTTTAGATTCTAGCTTTCTGTGAATTTATATATTACCGTTTTTTTGTTACTGAGATATGGCACTTTGTACTCTTGCCAAAAAAAACTAAGTGTTTGTTTTAGCGAGGTATCCATCTAATTTAGATGCAAGGTTAAGAGAGAGATTGTTCATTGCCCAATATACATCCGGCAATAGCTTGATTCTAGAAATTATTTATATTAGTTTGGTGTACCATTATTCTAAAAAAAGGTAATTGTTTTTCATGTATTGCGTGTTTGCTTAAAATGTGGAAGAACATGGAGCGAGCAGGTTATTACCTTAATGAGGTAGGAATTTGCCTACTTCCCCAGGGGCCCGGTTGCATAAAACCTGCACTTACTCACTTACGAATCCGTCATGGGTACACTTACGGGTGTTCCATGGAATGCACTTAATAGAACTTCCGTAAGTTCCTGTTTTACGAGGTAACGCACACTTAAGAGCACATGTAACTTTGTTATAGTACTTTGAATAACTGTATTTTTTTTCAGTTAACCATCGGTGAGTGTAAAGTAAGCGTTTAGTCGTTTCGAACAATTTGAAGGCTCTCATTGAAATCATGTTTGCATGCCATCATTGTTTAACTTCAATATCCACTCGAAATCACGGTTTGTTGTTCTTGTATGCAGTGTACAGCAGAGGTTAAGAAAATGAACGGATTAGAACAGAATTACGTAAAAAAAATTTTTTTTTTACTTGTCAGTAAAAGATCTCGTTAACCGTTGGAAAAAACAGTTTACGGTACGGGACCTACATAGGTCAAGTAAATTTACGTGTCATTTTTACACCCGCAATTTCTGTTGCATAAACCACACGTAAGCGACCATTTAGGAAAATCGTAAGTGGAGTCTCTTAAGTAAATTCACGTAAGTTATGAGTACACGTACGATACCTTGACTCCTTTGACAGATATTGGGCATAGATTTTAATAAGCTCGATTTTCGTCGCGGAGCGCGGGCTCATTTTCCGGCTGGTAATGAAGCCTAAGATTTTTACCACGTGCATGCGGGTATGAAATAGAAGCTCGGTAAGGGTTTTTGCTTTCTGTGGTAACTTCACGAACTCCGGCGTGTCGCAGAGGACTCTTATAATTAGAGACAGTTCTAACTTTGTGTTGTATTCTACGTGAACTGTTATTGATACATCGTTGTCAGCTAGCTGTAAACATCTGAAGATTTCTCGATGTCTTTTAGATGGAACTGTAGGACCGAACCAAGGTTTTCGGTGACAACAACCTTAATTACAGTGAAGCTGTATTGCGTAAACTCAATACCCTGTGAGGCAGGCGCAAAAAGCCTCGGGAGGGGAAGAGGAAGAGAAACGCGAAAGGAAAACGGGATGCTCTTCCCCAATCCCCTTCTCCTTCTCCAATTTGTCCCTATTCCCTCTCCTTTCAACGCTAGCTACGCAGGCCTAAACCCAACAAGTCCATTATATAGCTGGACGCCTTATCTATTAGCAGGTAGGGATTCCATTGTGTTTCACACTGTTATTTATCGATCTGGAATAAAATAAACCTGTAATAGTGGACATATCTATTCAGCGGATACTAGCGACAAAATCATGTTTTTCTTTTGCAAATTCAGTCGCTGGTGATGACGATTTTGGCTCGAGTCACAAATTATAACTCATCTTTTTTGCAACTTATTGTAACTAACCCTTATTTATTTATCTATTTATTTATTTGTGTCGTGTGCAGAACGCGCTGGGAGCAGTAACAAAATCAGCAGGTTAGTGATAGAATAATATACTATTAAACAAAATACACGATAAATGTTCCCGTCCATGTGATCTTATATTGGGTCCATACATTTTGATTAAACGTGTCTTCTTCATAAAGCAGAAGACAGGTATGAAGACATCTTTAACTAATTTTTACATTGTTTCCGTCTTACAGTAAAAGAGGCAAGACTAAAGGAAACCAAGCACGTCAGAAATGTTAAATTCAGAGAAACTCAAGGTACACTAATCTCATTTAACTTTTGTTAGGAAAAACAGCAATTGTTAGATTATTTAACTAATATTTAACCGAAGAGTATTCCTCTATTTTGAATCAACTAGAATATAAAGAGCTAACAATTTGAGAATGTTTTTTAAATTGAGCACTTGCGATGAACCCCATTAAACCTGTATTATTGGTAAGGGGTTTCATGGAAGAGGCAAAACAGAAGTTTTCAGCTGCGGAATACTTACGAATAAAATACCTTCAGCGCATGGGCGAGAAGTAATTTTTTATTTAACCATTTTGAAAGAAAGACGTACTTTCATTAGCTTGATCTGAGTTGTACTGCTATTTGGGGGCTAATGCATGAGCCAGGTAGTCTTGCTTTGCTGAGGTGAATTTTGTTATTACACCATCTCGATACTGGCCTGTGTATCAGGCGTTTATGGGAGGCGAAAAGGAGAAGAGAAGCGAAAAAAAATCAGCCTTTAAGGGTCCTTTTCTCTGGCCAAACAGGTTATTGTATTTGACAATTGCACTTCCGTGCACGTAATAAATGTCTTAGATGCAATCGTAAATCCAAGAGACTTCAGAATAACACTTTGTTCCTATGAGTCTTGCTCAGTAGCATAAACAGTCAAACGCAGGGGAATACTCAGTCATAATCTGTCGGTGAGTCCTATCTTTTGTTATTTTCTTTATCTAGGTATACTTTGAAGATAATTCAAGAGACTTACAAGTGCTGAGACATGACAAGGATCTACATCCCACTAGAATACAACTTCACTCGAAAAATGTCCCTGAATACCTCGGTGAGTTATTTAGCTGGAGCTAATGCATACCGTTTAAATAAAAATCATTCTCAAACCCTATTAAGAGCGCCTGTCTGTAAAAATCAGACAAATTCAAAATTTCGCGGCAAGGGTGGAAAATTCGATTTCTTTCATATTTTAATGTTACATAGGCTAGGGTATTACTAAAATCACTGTATAGTTCTTTCGGTGAAATATCCTTTTATTTCAGAGATAAATGCAAATAAGCAAAATCCGTTAAAATCGTCATTTGAGGCGCTCAATTATTACATGGGTTTGAAAGCCTTGCGTGCAAAAACCGATTACTCTACCGTCTTTAAAACATCACAGCCTTCTTTTACAACTTCTAAATATCTGTTAAAATGATTTGGGGAGATAGTGCTCTGTTCTTTGTATACAATATAATTTAATTTCGAAGGCATACAATTTACTTCAGTAAAAGTAATGCGTGAAAAAACGTAATTTTCACCATGTGCGAAACCTTCAAATTGATTGAGCTGCTGGTGGTTGAATGTTAGAAGGATGGTCTACAGGTTCCTGTAAAAATGTCTTTGGGCAAATGATTAATAGCGACGCGAGAGCTTTACAAAATCTGTTAAAAATGCAGATATTTGACCTTCCGTGGCCGAACTTTGAAGTTGCGAGTCGGACAAAATTTCGTCCCGTCACTTGTCTAAACTCGCAGTAGATTATAATAAACGGATAGGAAACCCTTTTGATATGTTCTTACCTTAAAATCTGCTGTAAAAGACGAGTCAAAAGGCCATTTTAGCCCGATTATTGAGTCGTTTGATCTTTGTCTTGTAACGTGTAATTGTACACCGCGCAACTGTCAACGTATTCACAAGACAAATACAATTATTTGATCAACTTTCGGGGCTTTTCATTACGACTTCATCTTTTCGACGGCTCAATCATTTGTTAAACATTGCTTAGAATGTAGTATCTGAAAATATTACCGCGCAGATACTACATCTGACTGCTACAACAGAATGACACAGAAATGCCGGTGCTCACATCTTGAATTGCAGGCAGCCGTTTGTAAGTCACGCAATCCAATTTAGCGGGGTGGAGAAGGGTGAAGTAGCAAACAGCCACAACGAGAACAACAGCAATAATTAAGGCTGATCACTATACTGGATAACTTTTCGTGCAGACACAAAAAGCTATCCGGTAAAGTATGAACACCTATCCGGTATGTGACTCTCCTGTTTAGAGATCGGCGCGTCGCAGCTTTGCGTTTCCCCCGGGGGGAGGGGGGGAGGTACTGCCTTATAAGAGGCTAATGGGGATGTGCCGCAGGATGGGGTTGCATTTTTACGACTGGATTGACCATAATGGGGTCGCATTTTCAATAGAGTTACTAGAATGGGGTCACACATTTTCGGATTTTTGGGGGTAAGACTGTTCGTCATATTTACGGTTAGCAAACGTACCAGAATGTTTTTACTGCAGACGGAAAGTAAAGTGGTCTCATTCAATCTAAAAAAATGGGTCAATTCATGAAAATAGAAAGTGAAAGTGAAAGTTGGGATGGCGAAAATTACATATTTGCTCAAAAGTGACTAAGATGGGGTCTATAATTGGCCACAATGGGGTAGGGGCTCTGAGAGGCCAGCGGCACATACCCAGCAAAAATTGACCCAAGTAACCCCCCGGGGCTTTTTCGGACCGAAATCACCCTTCTTTGCGTGAACAGAAGCCCTATCGGGTATGCTTTCTTTTTGTGCCTGCACAAAAGCTCTCCGGTATAGGAGTGATTGAAGACAATCTATAGCTTAAGATAGTGATACCCTTAGACACGGTCTTTCCCTGTTAAGATCCAAATACTGGTCATTTTGTTTATTCACAATTTTGGTCGTCAGCTCGCAGACTGGGTGACTTTATTAAACGGTATCAGGACCGTTATCAGCGCCATAACCTGCCGATAGAAGCCGTACTTGGAGTTGTTAAAGAATTTAGTACAAGTCTGCAGCTGCAATTCTGTAGAACAAACTCTAACATAAGCATGCATGCAGTCACAGTCTAGGGACCTCTGACATTAAGGTCATTTCCCAACCCTTCTCTTAGAATCATAGTAGTGGTGATGTTACGAGACAGCTCTTTAAAACTTCGTTATATTTTGCAAGCTATGTAACTACCGTATTTCCTCGAACAAGCGCCCCAGCTCGGCTAAAAGGAGAGGTGTTTATACTGGAAGAAGGGCGCTTAATAAGGGAGGCACTTGTTAACTTTTCCTTTCAACAAACGGTATTTCTATTTTGTATAAATGCATCTTAACGCGTTTGGTGGCCTGTCCTGTGCGTTCATTTTAACTCTTTTTGATTTAACCTATTACGTATCTGTGTACCGTATTTCCTCGGTAAGGGCCCATGCTCTAATAAGCGCCTGTCCCCGAATAAGCGCTCACCCCGTTGGTCATAATATCAAACAAGCGCCCCTATCGAATAAGCGCCCTCCCTCTACTCCTCATAACTTTTTTAAATAGTAGGAATACAAGAGGAATGGGACGGTCTGCTTATTGATGACGAGGATAATCTCGAAGATAAAGAGCAAAGTGATAGCACGTAAATAGCGCGCGCACCGTGAAAGATCGTGACGTCATTACTACAAACTCTCTTGCAAACACAACTCTAGGCTGATTTAGCAACAGAAAGGGAGCGTCAGTTGACGACGGCGCGCGCAAATCAAACAACAGAGCGGCACATTGGCAACGAAAGTCGCGTTTAGTCCTTTCCGCGCGCTTTCCCGTCGTCAACTGACGTTCGCGTTCTGTTGCTAAATCAGCCCATCCAAAAGTCGGGTTTGCATGAGCTGTGACGTCACCATCTTTTGCAGTGCGCGCGCTATTCACGCAATCCCCGGCGGGGGGGGGGGGGGGGGGGGTACTTCTAGAAAAACTGGGCGGGGTTGTGCGGCACGCCTCCTGAAACCTTTACCCTATTTCAGACCAAAATCTGAGATTTTTCCTACCCTATTTCAGACCTGATCCTTAAATCAATACCCTATTTCAGACCTGCCTTATAATCAGTTCCCTAGGTCAGACCAATGTTAAAGGCAATGTTGATACGCTTTGATTAAGTAGGATACAAAACTGTACTGTTACGGAACTTACCCGGTTGGCCTAAAACCCAAAGGGAAATGGTCTTATCGCCTAATTATGAAGAAGTAGCTTCTTCTAAAAAAACATACCCAGACCAAACTGGTCGAAATTGATACCCTTTTTTAGACCAAAAAAGATAAAAAAACATACTCTTTGGCGACGCACACACCTATATAGCAGATATAAGGGATTACCCCCCCCACCCTCCCGGGCCACAATCACTATACATTTGTGTAAAGTGTTTAATGGGACTTCGGTACTCTTGTTTATAACAACCACTGTTTTAACGAATAAAAGGCACATGTCTCGAAGAATCTGTACAGAAAACTTTCATAACCTTTTTATACAAAACAAGAACTGATTACGCTCACAAAAATTCGTGTACAACAGGTCGCAACTAGCAGCATATCCCTTTTGATTACCGCCTGCAACAATGATTCTTGCTTCTTTTTCATTTTTGAAACCCTGTTCGCAAATGAGACACGCGAGTTGTTAGTGTAACCAATAACGTTAATTTATAACGTTCGCGAAATAAGATGACCCAACGAAGGATACCTGTCAAAATAAAAGGAACAGAGGATTTTGTCGCCTGACAAAAAGCTCTAGGCATCTTTCAAGTTTTGGTAATTACAAAATTTTCCAATTTTTTGCAAAGGCCAAACTCTTTTTTTTGTCGCAGTGCGAACAGGTTTAGTTTTTTGTCGATGTTTATTATGATGTCGTAACTAACAACAGCGCTAGATTGTAGAGTGCCAGAGTGGTTACAGTAGAAACTAGACTTTAGCAAATATGAAGCAAGCAAGAAAGAAGAAAAAGGCCATTGGCACGATGACACCATTTTACTGCTACGACCAGAATCCTCAGGGTTTCGCTTTCTTGTATAAATCAGGACTTTTGATCTTGCTGGGATTACTAAATTTAAAAAAAATATATGAAAGTAAAATACGAAAAGGATTCTGGTCGTAGTAGTAAAGTAACGCCATCGTGCAAATGCGTAGTATTCGTTGATAAATCGGCTTTAAAAAAACTCTTTAGTCGTGTATAAAGGGTTTCCAGGTGTACTACATGTACTTTCAAGCACCACCACTCCTCCCCCGTGAAAATGCACATGACAGTATTGCGTGACGAGCAGCGTCGACATTATTGTGCCGTTGTAGCACCGGTCAGATATATACTTTCTTGCAGTGTAAAGCATTGTTTAACAAACGGCTAAGCCGTCGAAGAAGATGCAATCGTGATAAAATTCGCCTAAAACTGATCAAAGATTGGTATTCGACCTTTGAAGACGTCGAAAGTTGACGCGGTGTGTCGGGTGTGAGGTGTAAATTGCAGACGTTACAAACCAGAGGTCAAGCGACGAACGACCGGAAAATGGTGCTAAAATCATCTTTGGACCGGTTCTTTACTGCTCATAATAAGGTAAAAACATTTCGAAACGGCTTTCTATCTGCTTATTTTAACTTAATGTGGGTTTAGACAAGAGAAGGGACTAAATTTATGTCCGACTCGCAACTTCAAAGTTGACCACGGAAGGTCAAATACCTGGATTTTTAACAGATTTTGTAAAGCTCTCGCGTCGCTATTAATCATTTGCCCAAAGACATTTTTACAGGAATCTGTAGACCATCCTTCTAACATTCAACCACCAGCAGCTTAATCGATTTGAAGGTTTCGCACATGGTGAAAATTACGTTTATTCACGCATTACTTTTACTGAAGTAAATTGTATGCCTTCGAAATTAAATTATATTGTATACAAAGAACAGAGCACTATCTCCCCAAATCATTTTAACAGATATTTAGAAGTTGTAAAAGAAGACTGTGATGTTTTAAAGACGGGAGAGTTATCGGTTTTTGCACGCGAGGCTTTCAAACCCATGTAATAATTGAGTGCCTCAAATGACGATTTTAACGGATTTTGCTTATTTGCATTTATCTCTGAAATAAAAGGATATTTCACCAAAAAAACCATACAGTGATTTTAGTTATACCCTAGCCTATCTAACATTAAAATATGAAAGAAATCGAATTTTCCACCCTTGCCGCGATATGTTTGATTTTTACGGACAGGCGCTCTTAAAGACAAAACAAAACATATCTTTTGTTAATCCTAACTTCATTTCTTTTCGATCAGTTCCAGCGACTCTTAAACCATCCATGGCAAAGTTGTCAGGAAAGAGAAGACGCCCACACGTTATCTCCTCAGAAAAAAACTCCGCTCACAATACATTTGGCAAGGTTAATAACGAATAAGTAAAACATATGTTAGTATATAAATATAGTTTAAATACTTTGCAAACAGGGATTCTGTATGCTCAAGTAACTCAACAATAGGGTAATTGACTATTTCACCTAGACCCGATAATGCACCTTGTTTATCCCCCAAAATGTTGCATAACCATTGTCTTGGATTTCTCTTGGGATGTCTGTAATACCCAGGAGAAATTGGAAACATTCGTTCTGTAAAATGTTGTTGGATAAACAAGGTGCATTATGTTATCTTATCTTGTTGACCGTCCTCAAGGCATATAGTGTTGGACAATTTCTTCTCAGCCTCTTCGATTATCTTGTGGAGTCCCTCAAGGCTCTGGACAGGTGTTAAATTTCTCTCTATATTTCTCCATTGGAGGATGTAATTACGGCTCACGGCTTAAATTTAATGACCTTTGCCGATGATTTGTAGCTTTACATTATTATGAGACAAAGTAATCTTGCTACAGCATTACAGGATCTTACGCTTTGCATCCAAGATATCATGTCCTGCTCTCACAGGCTTAAATGTAACCCAAAGAAGACTGAAATCATTCACTGCTCCTCGCTTTTTTCACCGGCCGAACCAGTTCCTTCTATCAAGGTTGGAGATTGTTCAATTTCGCTGAGTAATGAAGTCAAGGACCTTGGGGGTCACACTTGACCGCCATCTCACTTTTAAAACTCACATCAACAACATTTGTCGCTCCACCTCACCTTCTACTCATCTCATCGGAAAAATTAGGAACCTTCTATCTAGATCTACTACGGAACGTCGTATTCACGCATTTGTCTCCTCAAAACGGATTAATACAACAGCATTCTTTACGGCCTACCCTCCCACGAGCTATAGAATTTACAACGGTTGCAAAATACAGCCGCAAGGCTAACTGTTAGAGCAAAAAAGTCGGCTCACATTACTCCAATCTTAAAGAGTTTGCACTAACTCCAAATTAAAATAAAGAATTAATTTTAAGATTCTGTTGGTCACGTACAAAATCCTCCATGGCTTTGCTCTTGTTTAAATGAGCTCCTATTTAACTACACTCCTCACTGTTTAATACGGTCGAGCAGCTTAAACTGCTGTCTATTCCAAAGATTAGAACGGTTACCGATGGCGACAGATCATTCTCTTTAGAGATCATCAAGCCCTCGTATATGAAAATAAAAACCGGAAGGGTTTTATTGACCACAAGCGTGATGTCAAATTGTCCAAAACATAAAGGTAAAAACCTGAAAAACCTCATTGGGCGGGCTACTTTAGATTCACTCTGGAGACAAATATGCGCCTGTTTTAGTTACTTGAAACTGTCAGATGAGTCTTTCGCATTAATTCAACTTTGTTGACATCTATATCGGACACCTCTCTTATAAGGACACCCTTAATTTGCTGTCCGTATCACAGAGATCCAACAGTACTTGGCGTCTTACCCGGGGGGGGGAGGGGGGGCACTTTAAGAATTTCTGGGCGGGGATGTGCCGCTGGGAGCCTGGAACCCTTAACCTTTACTAGAGCTAGTTCAGCTGAATTTTGCTACCCTATACTAGAGTAAACTCTCCAAATCCCCCCTATCCTAGAGTAGCTGTGTACCTAGTCTAGATAAAATCTTCAACCAACTGATCAGTTTCCTGAAAAATGATACCCTATTCTAGAGCCAAACGCTCTGATTTATATACCCTATCCTAACTATATAGCCCCTAACGCCTAGATTTATAGTCCCTTGCCGTGTATAAACGTCTTAGAAACCAAGCCCCTTACAGCCGCACATATCCTTATAGCCCATTTATGGCAGCTCCCCCCCCCCCCCCCCCCCCGGGGCGTCTTACAATTCAAGTATCCTCTTTTAATTGATTACTTGTAATAATAAAAACTTCTTGATCTTTTTTTTGAAATTGTTTTGCCTCAGAAACGAAAGTTGGATCCATTGAACAGCTTCAAGTAGCACTGACAAACATCAGCACAAGGGAAATAAGGTGAGAACATTCTTTGGCCTTTTTGCGCGCCCACAATCACTTCAGCTTTCTTTATTTTTAACCCAGGTTACAATTTACCATTCAGATTTTTTTTATCACATCACTCGGAATGCTTGTTTCATTGCTTTTCCTTGCATGCTGATGCAAATTCACTGGACTTCACAGAGAAATTATAGCGCTAAATTTATAACGCTAATCAGTCTCTCGGGAACCGTTACCTGATCTGCAGAGCGGGGTGTCGCTAGTGTCATTCGCAGCCGCTGTTAAGGTCGTCATGCAACGCTCCTACCCACTAACATAATAGTGGGGAGAGGCGTTGCGTGACGACCATAATAACGGTTGCGAAGGAGACTAGGATGTCATGATTATATAACTTATGGAGAAGATATTTCTGTTTCTTGCAAACAGCCGGACCTTTGCTTTGTTCGGTTACCTGAGATCAGGTTCTATGTTCATTTCTTCGTTTGGTAAATAACATTTCGGCGAGAAAGGAGAACACATAAGAAAAAAAGTATGAGAGCCGGGTCTGATCTCTGTTGTTTGGCTCGGATAACCACTCGTTACAAAACGGTATCTTCAGTTTGGGGTAAAAAATACTTTCTTTTAGTAGTATTCAACTACATTGACAATAACAGACAACCGTTTTTGATTTTCTATTTCTCATGATTTGGCTCGTTGGGGCGAGGGGGAGGGGGGGGGGGTATGGCCTGTACGGGGTACCTTCTCCAGGCTTCAGGTATGGTAGGGACTTCATTAGTTGACGTTTATGAAAGGTTAAAAATATCTGTCGTTTAGATCTGTAAAAGGAAGAAAAAGGGCTAACAGGCGCAGACAGATTTGAAGTGATTTATTTGTTTAGAAAATACGGTGCATTTACAGCAGTTGAAAGGGACGTAAGTTGTAAACTAGCTATGTGGAAAAGGGTATCATTTGTCAGTAGAACGTAAACGAAAAGGGAACCTTTTCTGTCAGAATGGTATATAAAAAGGAAAGGGGTTGGTCTTCGGGGTGGAGTCTCCCCGTGGAGTCTCCCTAGGTACCCCCAGGGGCTTGTGTTACTTTGATATGTTGTGTGTTAATCCGTGTGTTAATCCGAAATAATCCGAAATTAGAAAAAACTGCATTAATTCATCAAGACATTTCTTGTATTAACCCAGGGACATAGTAAAGGAAAGAAGACTTAATCAGTGGTTGGTATACGTCTCTTTTCTGTATGGGAACAGAACATCGATGGTCTGGTAGCCAATCATAACACAGATGAAAGGAAGGAGCACGTGACGAAGCCCTAAGAACGTCTGCGTGGGGGGCTATGGTTTGGTGACCATCAAACGAGTCTCGTCCCACATGTTTTCGTCCTACATGTCTTGCCACTAAATGACCAAATGAAGTCATTCGGATTAATGTCAGCTACTTCCCACTCTCTGCAGGCGAAAGACCTCAAATAATGGTGTGAAATCAGTTAGTGCTACGGAAACTACTAATGGAAAAAAGTGATTTGTTAAACGTTAATCAAATGTAGTAGTGCTAGTGAGACCTTGTACTCAAGAAAAATACGCGTAGAAATCTGCTGTCGACGCAACCAGAATCAGGCTACCGTTGAAGATTTATTCCTTGTTATCGTTTAAAGATTAATGGATGAGAAGAACAGTTTAACTGGACATTGTATAATCGTATGACGTTCTCAAACTGCAGAATTATAGAAGTAGTTTTCTGTTTTAGTCCTGCCGGCCATTAAGAAAAAACAACGGCCTATAGTCGGTAAACCGTGCTACCAGATATTTTGAGGTAAAAGTAAAGGGCCTTGTTTCAACGACGCGTGTCCAATTTTGGAAAATTAACAAAATAAAAATGGCAAGAAATATCGCGTTTGTTTACATTGGCCTTTGCTTTAGACAGAGAGATCGCTCCCATAAATCCTAACTTGTAAGCTGACAGCTGTTGAAGAGTATTTTGTAACACTGGCCTTTATTACATGAATTTTAAGGAGCGTACCTATTAATTAAATGCAAGAGAGTGCATGATTGCGAGTTTAAGTTAGCCTGTGAGCAAGCTCTCCTTTTGGGGGAGTCGCGAGAAGTCACGCGAGAGCCGCACGCGAAAGGAGACGTGAGTGCGAGGGGTGGAGAAAGAAACGAATTCTCCTTTTCCTGCTCCCCTCTCGCTCGCGCCTTCTCTTGCAACTCTCTTCGCTCGCCACTCGAAATGGAGAGTTAAGGTTAAGCAAGAAGATTTAAGCAAGGAAGTTTGAGCAAGATTCCTAATTTTTAGGTGTAAAAATAAGACTATCAGCTAAATGCAAGATACGGAGGTTTGTTTGTAAATCCTTACAAATGTAGTTTTTTTATAAATCACCAGGAGCCCATAAATCACGAAGGCTTTTCTGTTCAGTTCCAGCCGGTAGTTGAGTTGAAAAGCCGGAATACTATGCTCAAATCCTCAAAGGTTTTGGGGGCACTCAAATGACAACTTCGCCAATACGATGACGATCCATCTATCCCAAGCCTTGGTAGACTGTTCACAGTCCCCTATTTTTTTCGTGAGATCGTTTGGGCCCCACTCACATATTTTAATGACGGGGGGTCCGAGGAATTTTTTTGGGTCTGACATTTTGGCCAAAAGGGATTTTTTTGGGTCTATGAAAGACGCCGGAATTTTTTTGGGTCGCGAGAACAACACAGGGATTTTTTGGGGTATTGTATTTTTCATCAGCTCAAATTAACAATAACATAAGTGCAATTTACTGCTTGTGTGGTATAACGGGATATTTCTGAGATTGTAATCTATTTGAAAAGTAATTACCGGCACTCTACGCGCATCTAATCCAGAGAGAAATATGCAATAGGTCACGTAATTCAAGGCCTTTCAAGCCAGTCATCAAGACCACAATGGAAACACTGTATACAAAGTAAACATTTTATGAATTAGATGTTTACCAGCTGATATATATCTATTATCAAATGATCACGTTGCTATGTAAAAATAAAGGCAAACTGATTTTGTAAACTAAACTCAAACCGGGAGTCAATGTTGTTGAGTTCCAGCAAGAGTTAAGAGGTCCAGTCAGTTGTGATCCCATTTTTGTTGTCTGAAGAAGTTCTCTTGAAAATATTAGTAACATAACATCAAGCTTGCCAAAGTGGTTTATGAACCCATACAAAGAGGTGTCGCTGACTCAGTTATTTCAGAAGATAAATAATAAAATTTGCTGATGCAAAACTGACTGAGGGATTTTTTTGGGTATGCTAAAAAAAGTAGGGATTTTTTTGGGTAGACAAATTCTGAAGTTGGGATTTTTTGGGGTATAAAATATGAACCTCTGTCGGACCCCCCCCGTCATTAAAATATGTGAGTGGGGCCCCTGGGACCGTCTTACCGTCAATGACGGCCATCTTGATTTTCAAATGTATCGAGGGGGCGGGCGTCGGGGTTTATCGCTGTAGTTTTGACACTCACGCAAGATAGGAGCCCGTAACGCAAAGCGCTCGATCTCGTCGATCTTACGGAAAAATAAAGGACTTTTTCTAGAGCTTTGGATAGATCACGCACGTGATTACGCTTCACCTAAGTGTAAAAAAAAAGTACCACGAGAGTCGTTGTCATAGACAATAACTGTTGACCAATGGGCGCTCTAGAATTTCGACTGTTGCATAAACATAGCAAGTCCAAGGTCCATGACAACTGTTCATTTCTGATCAAGTTACGCATAATTGGGCCGACCATGGATGTGCAACAACTCTTCAGAAATCTTCAGAAAGAAGCAGAGTGTCCGTTGTGTTTAGAGACAGTTAACAATCCCAAGACTTTGCCATGTCTTCACTCATTCTGCCTCGAGTGTCTCGACAAACATGCAGGCTTCGCCAGAAGGCAGCTGCAGGCGACGATCAAATGTCCGGTTTGTCAGACATCTTTTCAAATCCCCGAAGGCGACTCGTTCAAGAATTTGCCCACATCTTATCATCTCAACCGATTGGTGGATGTTCTGGCTCTTAAAGATAGCGGCACACAGGCCCAAAAATGTGGCAGTTGTGATGAGAACAACACTGCTTCCTCTTACTGTTTCGTGTGCCAGAACTTTCTATGCACTCCTTGTTTTGAAGCTCACCAACGCTTGAAGGCCACAAGAGGTCATCGTAATGTTGTGATAGAGAAATTGCAAGCTCAAGATGTGGAAGATTTGATCCACAGACCCGTCATGTGTTCACAGCAATATCACGAAAATCAACCGCTGGAATTTTATTGCGAAGAATGCAAAGTTCCTATTTGCCAAAAGTGCAGTGTAGTTAGCCATAATCGACACACCATGACAGACACTCAGAAAGCCGCACAAGTACAAAAGATGCAAATGATGGACGCTTTGGAGAAAGTGAAAGCGGAAACCGTTGTTTACGAGAAGAAAGTAAGAAAACAAACCGAGTTAATGGACAAGAACAAGAAAGAAATTATGTCGTGCGAAAAGAAGATGACAGATTTAGTGGAAGATTTGATTCGCGATTTGCGGGAACATGCCCAGAGGGTCATGAAAACCAAATTCGCTGAAATTTATGAAGCGCAGCAAAAACATCAAGCAACACAACTAGAAAACTTTGAGTTGGTTTTGACTCAACTGAAAAGTTGCGTTGAACGAGGTGAGAGTATCGTACAAATAAACATCATTGCTGAGATTCTGCAAACAAACCAAGCTATTGTCAAAAACTGTGACGAACTTCTAAAAGCCAGAAAACCTAAACTTTATAAACCTTTACACGTTAATTATATGGTTGAACAGAAAGTAAAGATTTTGGATCGCATTGTTGTCAGTGACACAGATCCTTCGCTGTCGTTCGCTGAAGTGGAAAGTCTGAAAGATGTACGTGTAAAAACGGAAACAAATTTTTCCATTGTAACCCGAAATTCGGATGGGGAACAGTGTTATCATGAAGAGGACGTGATTAAAGTCAACATATTAAATCCCGCAGGTGATCAACTGGAAACAGAGATAAAAGACAGCACAGACGGCAAGTACACAGTAACATACACACCACAGTGTGTTGGACAACATAGAGTAGAGATCCAAGTTAATGGACAGCCGCTGACTGGTAGTCCCTGGGTTTTGCAGGTGATTCCACATCAGTATCGATTTGCGTTTAAATTTGGATCAAAAGGAAAAGAACAGGGACAGTTTAACTCGCCCGTGGGTGTTGCTCTGAATAATAAAAGTAGAATTATTGCTGTTGCTGATTATAACAATAACAGAATTGAGATGTTTGGCTTTGAAGGGAATTTTCTCCGAGAGATTGGACTGAAGGGTGAGCCCTGTTCATTGGCTTTTACCGAGTCAGGTGACCTCCTTGTCAGTGTTCTATTTGACAGCAGAATTTTTCTCTTTACTGAAAATGGTCAGTTTATCAGCTACATCGGTGGTGAACATGTAAAGGATCCGTGGTACGTATCTGTTTCCAGTGATGGTCGCATTATCACAAGTGACTTTGGTGACAAGAGAATCAAAGTTCTTACAGCTGATGGGAAAAACTTACTTCCGTCGTTTAAAGCCCCAAATTGCGATACAGTGGTGCACTGTGTCGTTTATCACCAGGACAAATTCTTTGCCTCTTTTTTATTTGGTGACCGTGTCATGGTATTTAACAACGCAGGGGAGTATCTACATGACATTGGAAGCGAGGGATCTGGTGACGGGCAGTTCTCGGAACCCATTGGTCTCGTTATTGACAAGTTTAACCATTTGATCGTTTGCGATGCGGGAAACAGTAGACTGCAACTTTTCACCCTTGATGGAAAGTATATCGCACAGATAGCTGGGAGTTTTCTTGAGGGTGGCTACCCTCATTTTGCTGTCATCTCTAATACTGGAATTATGTTTGTTTCTGATAGTGACCGGCACTGTGCTCATGTTTTCCATTAACCCTGTCAGCGAGCCATTGTGTTCTGTGTAGCCACATGGTATATTCACTGTTATGAACCATTTTATGAGATTTATTTCTGAAAGAAATAAATGGTTTTATGCTGAATGTGACTGATCGTTATTGTATTTCTCCAGCTACCAGCAAAGGAGGGTTTTCCTTTGCCTAGTCCCTGTACAGCGTCTTTCCAGGCCCTCTTGATCAATGCATTTCGGTGACGTATCCGAGACGAATGGCCGGGAGACGCCTAGACAATCTCGGAGTGCGCATGCGTGAGAATTTTTGCATTTTTTAAAAGTTCCCACGTTCAACTTAAATAATCTATAAATAACTTTGCGCGTGAATATCCTTCCCTTAAAGATCGGCACTAACCTGGTTTCTGTTATCAAAGAACAAAAATATTACTTTGAATCGGAAAGAATACTACTGTATAACGTGCAAGTAATTTCTCTTTTAGTTCATTTTCAAATGAACCATTAAAATCATATTTCTTTATTGACAAAAAGATTTGAAACAGTAGTTTGTTGATAGTCTACCAAATTTAGAGACCAAATTCAACAGCCTGTCCGATTAGTTTGATAAGCTTCCAAATCCAAAAATTAAATAACATAAAATATTTCGAAGTGAAATGATAACGAGAAATTTATAGGAGTGAGCGAAAATAGAGAAACGAAAGATAGCTTTTCATATCCAAGAATAAATATAAACTTATTTCTTTAGCTTACCTTCCGATTCTTGATCAAATATTTTTTTTGCGACGCTGTTTTGCTTAGCCTACAAATAGTTTTTGAGATGAAATAAAGTTCAAATTAGTTTAAGGAGATAAATGAAAAAGAAAGGCCAAAGGACTTTCAAGAATAAAAACGTGCATAGAATAAAAATGCTCGGTTTAACTCTTTATCCTCTGTACTATCCATGGCTGCTGGACATCTTTCATCAGCGCGGAAAAGTTATTGACAGCTCGCCCGCTTCCAAAAGCTCCGCCCCAAGTGAAACAAAATGTCTCACTTCTCCGAGTTTGTCTAGGCCTCAAAAACTTTCTCGGACCACGTGACCCGAAACGCATCGGCCGCGTATAATAATGAGGCCCAGGGACTAGCGAAGGTTTTCCTGTCATCCAGGTGATTTGTCACGAAAGTGTCATTTATGTCACGGGTTATGTACGTCACAGAAGCGAGGCACAAGGCCTCCTTCTTCGCATTACAAGACAGTCAGAAACAAAACATGAAGCATAAAGATAATTAAATAGTACCGCTTGATAGTACCATTTGTTATGCTAGCAAATAATAACTACGATACATTCTGACTCGGTTTTGTTATTTGAAAGACACGCTTCTTACGGACCTTACGAAAACTTCTGTCTGTTGATTGAAAGGAAAGATTAAATAGCCATTACCCTGCCGGCAGAGATTTCTCTCCTGCATGGCTTTAAACGTTTACGAAGTCGTTCCCACTGTATGTCAATCAAGTAGTTGGTTTGTTTTTAGTCAACGCTCCAGGGCCCGGTTGCATAAAACGCCCGTAACAGTTACGGGTATACGTACGTGTACTCGTAACTTAAGTGAGTTGCATTAAATTACTTACGTGGTCCACTTAGGGATTTCACTTAAAAGGCTGCACTTACGATTTTCGTGAGTATAGACTTAAGTGTCATTTATGCAATGGAAATTGCGGGTGTTGCATAAAACTTTTTTTACGGGAAAAATAGCACGAAAATTTACGGGACCTATGTAGGTCCCGTATCCTTACTGTTTCTACTAAAGTTAATGAGATCTTTTACTGAGAAGTGACAAAAAAGTTTTTTTCTTTAAGTAATTCCGTTCTAATGCGCTTTGTTAACCTCTGATGTTCACTTTATTTAAAGCCGTCCTTCAGAAAAAAAGTAGAACATGCAACAAACATTATCAGTAAATATTCTTGTAAAATAACAGTGGCATGCAAACGTATTTCAAGGAAAGTCAACGGACTTGATGAGTTGCACTCATAGGATATTAAAATGTCAATCTTCTTTGCTGAATGATTTGAAATTATTTAAAAACTGTCATCAGCTTCAATAGATTATAAGGATTGTAAAAAAAAACACAAACAAAAAACACAAACAAAAACGAACGAGCAAATTCCTAACGTTTTTTTCGACTCTCTTCAGTTTCATTAATGTCGTCTTGGTACCCTTCATCAGCATTGCTGCTGTCACCCGTAGCTTCTTCTTCATCATCTTTTAGAGAAACATTTCTACATTTCTAGCATGTCAATGAAACGGAATTCTGAAGATGAACAAGGCTCTAACCCCAGAAAAAGAGCGCCGAATTTTAAGACGGATAAAATCACAATTTTTTTCTCCATGAGGTAAAAAGGAGAAAGATGACTCTATTCGG